TCAGCGCACGAGGGGCCAGAATCTAGGAAACGGCCGAGAAATAATACCTCTGATACTCGTTACCCACGAAAGAGGAGCTCCAAAGCTTGCCACGTGTGTCGAGCTAGGAAGACGAAATGTGATAATGTACGGCCATCATGCGGCTTTTGCGTCTCAGTGAATATTAAATGCTCTTTCGATGATATCGAAAAAGACCACTCCAGGTGAGTTCCACTTTCACACTGGTTGCTCACCGCTTTCGCTGAAGCTTGATCGCCAGATTCGACCCTGCCAGTCTAGAAATTCTGCGACAGTTAAATCAGATTATCAGTTCGCAAGATGACCTACTGCACACAGTTCGGACTATATCTATTGCACAAACAAACCCATCCGTTTTAGATCTCCCGTCAACTTCTGGGGATTACGTCGCGATACGTGCAGTTGAGGACCCCCATGCCTGGAACGGCCATGCAAGTGTCCAACAAAACAATCACTTTTCGGACTACGAATGGTTCGCACCACATTCTGAATCAACAGTAACATCTCCTGCGGCATCAACTGGAGTAGCTGCAGTACAATGGTTTGGACTATTGACTCGAGATGTCTCCCGCGAATTTCAAGATGATGCCCCATCAGCACACGAAGGAGGATCCCTGGATGCATTCATAAGCCACGACGGGAGTGCTACCAGTCCATTGCAATACGCAACTAAGATTATCGATGACCAGCCACAAGATAGTACAGCGACTGGCAAGGGCAGTGGTGAGGAGGCTATGTGGCAAGCATCTCGAAGTATTGTACTGCTTGAGCACGAACAAATCTTGTTCGCCAACTTTCTGCATCGAATCTGTTCATGGGTATGCTCATCGTCGTGTCTTGGAAACGTGACCGCAAGATGACTGAAAATAGATCGATCTTTTCGACACTGCGCGGAAGTTCTCGACAATAGTACCACGCCTTGCGACGCGGAATGCAGGTCTTCTTAATGCGATATTAGCTCTTTCGGGCTATCACCAGTCCTTAGACGAAAATATTCCGCCAGAGAAGCGTGCGGATCAAAACAGCGCACTTCAGTATTACTATCAGACTCTCCATTACGTCCAAAAAGCCATGCGCTATTCGACATACCAACATAGCCTCGAACTCATGGCTACAACCATAATTATCTCCACATACGAGATGCTGCGTGGTTCTCGCAAAGACTGGCAGCAACATCTTCAGGGCGTATTCTGGATTCTTCGCTCACGACAGATCGAGGTGGAAATATCAAGTCTCGAGAGTACGACTTGGTGGGCCTGGCTGCGTCAAGATATATGGGTTGCGTTCCGCGAGAAGCGGCGGACATACAGCACCTGGGTCCCCAAGAAAGCGTACTCTGAGCTTACTAGTCACGAGATTGCCTCACGGGCAGTGTGGATTCTCGCTCAGGTCATCAATTTCTGCGCTGTTGATTCAAGCACGGAAGAGACGGAGAGCACATTTGCAGGAAGACTTGGCTGGGCGAAGGCACTGCGACGACTACTTCAGGAGTGGGAAGCGAACTTGACTATTGAGTTTGAGGAGCTGCACACCATCGGGCATCAAGATAACGAGGTGTTTAGACCTCGATTTATACATCCCCAGTGCTTCGGTAAGTGATTTCTCTGTTTGAACAACTCGGCAGTTTGTTAAATTGTGCCCGTAGGTCTGGCAATGCAAATTCACCACGTCTCGAAAATCCTCATTTGCGCGCACGAACCTAGCCATGGCAGTATGGAAAACTTCATGGCTCGTCAGAAGACCATAAATGAGAGTGTGGAAGTCGTCTGCGGCATTGGTGCTACCATCACAGAGGAAGCGTCGTGTATGCTGTCTTCGCAATGCCTTTTTATGGGTAGGTCACCATCCGGCTTACGATAACAACCGAACTGATGTTCTTATGTAGCCGGAATCTTCTTGCACAATACTTGTCAAAGAAACCGTGTCCTGGAAATGCTTGAAGAATATCGGATCAAGTGTGGATGTCTTACGCCCTCGCTTAGCTCCGAGTTGGAGCAGATTTGGGCAAGACCGGATAACGTTTGGGAGAGCTGAGACGTTGTATTCTTAGACAGGTACATTCTCTTTGTAATGAATTAAGGCCTCATGACCATGTAAAGAATTGCGTGGTTCTATGTCTCTATACACTTGGTTGGGTTGCTATGTGGTGCCCTCGTCCAGATCAAACTCAAGCGAAACCATCAAGACAGAGTTGACAAGAAAACCGTGCTAATCTGGTGATCAAGATGTAGTCGATGACTTTCGTTAGATACAAGACTACTGCGTTTGGCGTAGGCTCTTTTCGACTGCTCGACAAGCATGTTGGCGAGCTCGGGTAGCAAGCGACATTCCCCGAGTCGGCGCCGAAGCAAAGCCACACCCCCTAATGGAAACAGCACCGCATCGGGAGCCTCCCGATCGTCCCCGTTGCACCAAGTTTCCCCGGATTCTCCACGTCCGCCACCAGCGCCTCCAGAATCCAGATGGAACTCGACATTCGTTCTCAGGCCACGCCTGAATGCCTTCCTACATATACGACTGCGAATCCTGCATTTTACAGCATCTTCAGTGTTCGTAGGTACCTCCCGGGCTACGAGTTCTTTTGCCATTGTATCTAGTTGTAAAGCAAATCTTCGAGGGCTTGCAAACATGGGCATCGCCTCCATCCTCCGGCGCGTCGTTCGCAACGAAGCGATTCGAATTGACCCTCCCGAGATATACAACTGGCGAATTGTTGCTCTAGCAAGTGCAGTAAGTGCAGATTCATGAATATTTTCAAGACACAACGCTCAATTCACATCTGATAGGCATGTTTTGCCGGTGCACTCTTCGGAGTTGACGCAGGAATTATTGGCGGTGTGCTCGTCATGCCTGACTTCAAACGGTAAGAACCATTTCCTATTTTCACATTAGCATTGTAGCACAGCAGGAACACTGACTAGTTCGTAACAGAGAATTCCGTCTGAATTCGAAATCAGCAAGTGCTGTAGCAGACATAACCGGCAATCTGGTCACTACGATGCAAGCCGGTGCTGTAGCCGGAGCTCTCGTATGCAGTCCCTTCGCCGACCGATATGGGCGAAAGCCCTCGCTTCTTATCGTAGCCATTACTGGCTTCATTGGTGGACTCATGCAAACAGTATCCTACGGCCACTTTGCAGTGTTCTACATCGGGAGGTAAGCTTACTAGGTCCGAGTTATATTTCCCTCTTGAGCTGACTTTGAGACCAGGTTCATCGAGGGTCTTGGTCTTGGTGCTGGAACTATGCTCGCACCTACTTATGTCTCCGAAAATTCACCTCGAGCTATTCGTGGATTCTTGGTCGGTTTCTTCCAGCTGTTTTTGGTGGCAGGTAGTATGATGGCGTACTTCATCAACTATGGCGCTTTGAAACACCTCTCGGTAAGTCCTCAAGTCGACCTTGGAAACCAAATCTTTCTGAAGAGTAGCTTACAATTCTTTTCTATATAGCCCATGGCTACTTGGATGGTTCCTCTGGCATGTCAATGCATCTGCCCCGCTCTTCTCTTCGTCAGCATGTTATTCTGTCCCGAATCACCTCGATGGCTAGCATCTCAAGATCATTGGGATAGAGCAGGTAACGTCCTCGCGGACGTCAGAAATTTGCCTGTTGATCACGCATACATTCAACAAGAACTGCTCGAGTTGCGAACTCAGCTCGACCACGAGAAGGAAATCATGAAGGGCGCTGGATTTTGGGAACTGCAAAAGGAGTGCTGGACCATTCCTGCCAACAGGAAGCGAGCCTTGTTGACCATTGGTATGGTGACATTCCAGCAGTGGACTGGAGTAAGTTTCCATCTTGTCCTTGAATCTTGCCTCGTGCTAATTAAGGTGCAGACTGGCGCAATTAATTACTACGCCCCAACCATCTTCAAAGGCCTCGGTCTCTCGAGCACAACTACCGGACTCTTTGCTCAAGGCATCTACGGCATTGTCAAGGTCGTTACCTGCCTGATCTTTGTCTTCTTCCTTGCCGATTCTCTTGGCCGTCGTCTCTCTTTGATGTGGAGCGGGGCCGTCCAAGGATTCGCCATGTTCTTCGTTGGTTTCGTAAGTTCCATTGTCCGCAAGCTCAAAGTATGCACTCTGATCAATTTCTATAGTATCTCCGTTTCGGACAAAACCTTGGAGCTGGGCAACAAAGCGTCGGCAGCCCTCCTCCAGCAGGCATCGCTGCTCTGGCCATGATTTACATTTTTGCGGCTGCGTTCAACATGGGTTGGGGACCGGTTTGTAAGTGAACAATCATAGGTTCACAGGCTTCATATTGACAGACCCTAGCTTGGATCTACTGCTCCGAGATTCCAACAAACCGATTGAGATCCTATAACGTCGCGTTAGGATCGCTCACGCATTGGGTTCATAATCTAGCAGTATCCAAGGCAACGCCAGTCATTCTAAATGCCACCCCATACGGCGCTTATTTCATCTTTGGTACGCTCAATGTTATCATGGCAATTTGCGCATTTTGGCTTCCAGAAACCAAGGGTGTAAGTTTCCTCAAACCCATATATGTTTCTCAGCTAACCCTACCTTTCCAAGGTCTCTTTGGAGCGCATGGACGAGCTCTTCGGATCCGGTGACATGTCCAACGTTGAAGATATCGGTAAGGCGGCTATAAAAGCTAAAGAATTGGACTCGGAAGAGGTGGAGGATGTGAATTACACTTCTAAGGTCTAGCTAGTATGGGGAGCTATGGAGTCGGTAAGCTTGCTGTACAGTGTACAGAACCTCTGCGGGACTTTTGGTACTACCTGTAGCCAAGCATAGGATCATTCCACTAGTCTGTGTGATAAGAATTGGGGTTAATTGAATATATATACATGTTGGAATACGTCCAGTGCTAATCCCATCTGAAGCGAATGCGCAAAGTGAGGATGCGCACACCAACCCCACGGCCCAACATTCCAATCCTCTCCCCATCTCAACAACCTCACAACATATCTGAGATACATTTGGAAGTTATCATCAGTTTCTCGGGCGTCTAGCTCAGTGGTAGAGCGCCCGCTTCGCATGGTGGTATGGTTTGCGGGAGGCCAAGAGTTCAATCCTCTTGTCGTCCATTCTTTTGCCGTATCGAACTCGATGTGATATGTTGGAGGATTGGCGCAATGGTTGGCGTGTTGGAGAATGGAGCGAGAGGGGTCAGCTTTGAAGTAGGAGATGAGGGAGTGTAAATAAGATGCGCATAGAAGTTGTTGTAGCAAGATATCTATCTTGTTCTGACAACCGGTTATACTCGAACACACCTTCCATTCCTCCCCATCTCAATCCGGATCCATGAATCGAGACTGAGGCTCCAAAGCACCAACGCCCAAGTCGCCCGCAGCAAGAACACACACCATGTCAAAACCATCCGAGGCAACGTTATCTTCTCCAAAAGGTTCGAATTCCCGTCACGAATCAAACACTGCACCATACGCCGCGCCCCCGCACCTCTTCACTTCGCGCACAACCTCATTCGTAACCTTCTTATTACTCACCACCATAACCGCCTCTAATGCCTCCGTCTGCGCCAAGTACCGCGCTTCAAACGCCACATCCGGGCGGCCAGCTTTTGAATCGAGAATCTTGGGCAGCGGATCGACTTTCCTTATCGCTTCCTGGACAAACATCCAATGTGCTGCGCCAGAATCATACACGCACCACATGAAGCGCACTTTCTTGCCCACGGCGAGCATGTGCTTGACGGCCGGGGACGCGAGGAGGGAAAGCATGGGCGCGATTCCCGCGCCAGTTGCAACGAGGAGGACGGAATTGAAGATGGATGTGAAGGCTAGGAAGTTTGCTGTGGGGGGTGCGCGGATCCAGATGCGCTGGGGTGGATGGGCAAGGATGTTTTGGGTCCAGTCGCCTGCGGCGGAAATGACGATTGATGCGCTGAGGGCGTCGGGAGAAGGGATTGTGGCGAAGGCGTGCCATTCGAATAGAGGGCTGAGACTGAAACGGCAGGTGGATGTGTACGGCATGTTTGCGTACGGGAACGTGAGTTTGATTTCTCGAGTCGAGATGGGTTGCGCGAGGATGGATACTCGGCGGATGCGCACCCACGGTAAGATGATGAAGAATGTGGTTAGGGCGAGGAGCCAGATTGAGCGGCTTTTGTAAAGAGGCGTGTGTGTTGGGTCGACGATGGTACTGATTCCGCAGTTGATCCAGAGAACGATGAGCGAGGCCCAGCCGGCGAAGCGGTGGGTGACTTCGAAGTGATTGTGAAACTTCTCGCGGAAACGAGTGATGGCTGATAGGCAGATGAGCAGAGTAATGGTCAGGAAGACGTAGCATGTGACTATGTCAACCCAATGCCATCTTGTTATTGTGCCGTCTTTCGCACGTGTAACACATGTTGCTGTGTTGAGGCCAACAAAGAGGATATACCACATCAACGAAGAGACGGCAGTGCCTATATGTACCCCGCCATAGTGATGAAAGTCTGCCATGATTATTCTGAAACCAAGTGGTAAACCTGTCGGTATTCTCGACACGAGGCCAAAGCTCAAGTTGATCAGATCTTCTTGTCGAGCTAGGATTGATGCAAGCAGATTGGCAGCGGTGGCTACGAGTACGTTCTCCAGGGGTAATCTGTGAGGGATCAAGAGTACCATTATGACGAGGTTGAAGAGCACGGCTAACGCAATCAAAATGCGATATGCGGTCAGCCAATGTAGACAAAACCGGCGTAGCCAGCTCGTCTTTGGCCTCAGACGCTCAGAGGTGTGTTGAGATGGCGTGATGTCCTTTTTGATATCTTCTCGTAACTCGATTGCGCTCTTCTTCGAAAAGGTCGGTGCCATTGCGTCCACATGCATACCGACAATTAGCGATAGTTCGGAGCCCTCAATCTTCCTTGTGAGTCCAGCATGGGTTGTATTGCCCGGTATAAAGTTTGATTCGGTCTGGTGGGAGTCTGCGCGATGTCTTGGCTCCGTACGCTTAGGTCCATGGTTGATGGGTGGGTAGCCTTCAGGGGAGCCCGAATTAGGGGAGCTCGAGTTTGAGTAGCTGAACACGAACATACTGAGCGCTTCGTTGAAGACGGCGTGGACCTTTGTGACATTGATCGGTACCATTGAATTCTTGGGCTGTGAGTGGTAGAACGCCGTGCTCTGCAGCGCAATGTTTGCGAGGGGAAGGGTTGAATGATGTGCAGTGGAAGATGGTCTCTCGCTATGATGCTAGAGATGACGTAGAGTGACTGTGAAAGATCATACCGGGGGCCGTGGGAAGACTATGGCAGTATTTAGCGCATTGGATATGGAATTGAAGTGAATTCTGCCTCTAAGCACTGTGAAAGCTCAACTATTTACAAGGAATTAATACAATGTAGACTGTCCCGCCCACTCGATCAATTCAAGTGTTAGCACACAATGAGACCGCCATGGCCGTAGTCTCATGACCGACTGACACCTATAGCGCAGGTTATGGCCCGACTGAAATTCCAAGTGTAGGCCCGAAAAGAATTATAGCAGCTGATAGGTAGATTTTGAACAGTGTTCGAGATGCTGTACCTCTCATAAGCCGGAATTTCTTCGGGCTAAGTGAAACAAGCCCACGCTTTCGTCGGTCTTTCCAAGCAGCAGTACCGCATGAACAGGCGATAGCCAGATATACTAACTGTGTAAGGGAACTTCCAAGCCATCCTCGAGCAAAGGTTTCTGCGTAGAGAAGCGGGACTTACTTTCTAAGTATCGTTCGAAAGCCTCGGTCCGAAAGGCGCTATTATACTATAGCATCCTTGAAAAGGCTGCTGTATAAGAAGACATCAAGACGGATCTGCGTTCCTTCGTGGGTAGCTTCTTGTGGGCCGAGTAAGGATGATCGTACAATACCAAGCAACCAGAAGTCTTCTGTCCGCCTACTTAACATAGTTACGCATGTCTGCTTTACGCTAGTTTATGTGGTACTGCTAGGAGGAGCAGTCTGTTTAGTCGCCATTGCAGATCGATTGTAGCAGACAAAGTGCTGTCCCTTGTGTGTCCCACGCACGCCCCGAGACTCCTGTACTAGTTCAAGATTTACCTAGGCATCGTGGACGCGAGCGTTTGCTTCTAGTAGAAGATATCCTCCATCCGTGTACTGAAAATTTCCAGTTCGCGTTGGTGTAATCGATACGAAGACTTGGCCTGAGTGACTGGGACTTATTCTGAACAACGATGCAGAATGCCGCTTAGGCTGCCACACCTTGAAGAGACTTGGGGGTACCTGACACGTAAGCCTTCGCCGAATTGCTGCAGGTGCTACCTGCCTTGGTTACCTGGTGAGCTAAGTATTGCACGATACCTCGTTCACTCAGAGCAACGCACCGGGTCATGCTCGGCAGATTTCGTATCGTTTCATGGTGGCGGCAGTCATTCGGCCAAGGACGCGCCAAGAGAAAGCATGGCTAGGCTAGCCTATCAAGATGAATTGACTGCGCATCGACGCAAGAGTGTAGCAACACTCTTACTCCCAGGCTCAATCTAACGTAGTCGTAACCCTTCTAGTCTAACTCTTCCTAAACTAAACCAATTCTGCGATGTTGTACGCCAAGATAAGTAGTTGTGGTGTAGTTTTGTTGGCTGGCTCGGCTTGGCATGCCATTTTTTGGTCCTCCGGCTTATTTCTCGGGTATCATGCAGCATTCCAGCAGCTGCAAATTTGTAGCTATACGGATCAGTCAGAATCTACGCTTACGCAAATGATATGCGTGACAGTAGATTGATGCTGTGCGTTGCTCAATCAGTAGTGGGAAAATCAGGCGAAGAAGGAGAAAGACGTCAGGGGATGGCCCTTAGGGATTGGAGGAAAGAGATATGTCGGCGTACAGCCCATGCGTGCAGATCACCTTAGTCGGTTTTGCAAGCACTCCATTGCCAGCGTGCTGGACACACTCGAGGTTGGGTGACTACTCTCCCATAGTGAACAAGAGTCTGTTTGTGGCCAGTCTACTAAAGAAATCTTTGGCAAGAAAATACTTCACATTTTAGCACGCAGGCGCTCTAGAATTTCATTGAGATATAAAGCGAGCTTGATATTATTCACCAAAGGGATGTTGTCATTGTACAAGCAATGTACATTTACATTGCCGATGGATTTTGGTTGCAGAGGCTCATTAGAGCGCTCGCAAGAATTCTAAAATTGCTTCGGAGACCTTCTCAGGCTGCTCCTGCTGGGGCCAATGTCCTGCGCCATCGATGAACTTGATGCCTCGAAAATCCGAGCATGACTCGGGATATGCCTCGATCGCTCCAGGCTGCTGGTAATTGCCCCAGTCTTGTCGGCCAGATATAAAGGTACTCGGGCATTCGATCTTCTTGCCAGCAAACAACTCGAGGTCCTTCAAGCGGGCAGGATTGGTTGTTGTCCGGTAAAAGTTCAAGCCACCTTGAAAACCTGTCCTTGACCATTCCTGTACGTAGACATCTAGGTCTGCGTCTGACATCCATCTCTTGGTCGCCGAAGCATCCTCGGTGGCCATCATGTCGGCTATAGCTTCTGGCATGGTGCGGTCCAAAGGTAGGATGTAGTAGTGCGGCATCTCTGCGAGCTGTTCGGCATTCCAACCTTCGAGCGCATGGGGCTTATTTTGTTTCCAGTCCGCCGACTTCACGTGGAGATATCCTCGAAGAAAAGCATGTAAGCCTTGGGCGGGCGAGGACCAATCGCTGCCAGCTGTAGCAGTACTGTTGTACCATTTGTAGTGCTTTCTTGGCTCCGGTAGCTTGGCGAGCTCCGCTTGAATGTCGATTGGAGGTGGTGGGACCATGCCATCGCCGTGTACAATATCAAAAGGGAGAGCCGCAGGGGCTTTGAAAGGGTGGCTCATCATGACCACACTCTTGAACAGATCTGGCCGCATGAGTGCGCTCATGCTCGATGTCACTGCGCCGAAGTCGTGTCCGACTATACACTTGACCTCTCGATAGCCCAAGGCATGAACTAAGGTGACCACGTCTCGTACCACGCTACTCAAGCTGAACTGGTATAAGTCGGTTTCTGCGAACGGTGAAGTGTCCCAGCCGGTTGTTCGTCCATAGCCTCGCTGGTCAAATGAGACGACATAGAAGCCAGCCTTAGCAATAGC